CTATTTATCTAATCATACACGTTTTGGTCATCTTATTACTATTAAAAATCTACCTTCTCCTGGTCACAACCATGGTGCCTCTAGATCGTGGCCTTCGTTGAGTCGCGCGTGGTGGTAAGGGCAGGGAGGGAAGACTTGGAGCTATGTTGAATTTCGACCGAGCAACCTGGTCTTCCTCTAATTTTTGAGGCGCGCGAAGAGGGGAAAGCCTCAGGATTTTACGAGGCGGGAACCAACTGTCGCCAGTCGTCATCTTGTTCACCGCACGAAAAACCCTCTCCAGTCGGAAGCACGCCCCGAACTCAGGCTGCAGTAGTGACTCGGCGGATCTACATCTTGCCAGAATTGCCGAAGCATCTGTCTCGCCGAGCAGTGCCGTCCAACGTCGCCATATCCGGCAGTCGTTAGAAGCGAGTGTGTTAAATATAGCCTGCTGAGGGAGAAAATACCGTAGGGGGCGTGGGGATAGTAGGTGGTATAATAGATTGTCTACTGCATACCCTAGGAATGGATACGACGACGTGACGAGATTGCGCTGGTCCCTTACGGTCCTCCGCCACGTGAGCGATATCTCCGGTGATGAGGCGCTCTGTTTCGGCTCTGGGGAATGATTCCCGCTCACCAGGGGCGACAGGTCCGACGTGTTCAGATATACCAGGATCGTACGGAGAAGGCCATAGTGGCAGAGGTCGACCATATCGTGACCGGGTGTGGTCGTTGCTCGTCCCGGTGATAGGACGGCGAACCCCCTCCCGGACAAGAAGAACGATTTGACAGAGTCGTTGATGGGATAAATATGCTGAAGTCCTAATGACTGCTGCGCCTTGCCCTTCGCATCTGATGGCCTCGCCTCCAGGAGGCCGCATGTCCGGGAGCAAAGCCATTGGTAAAACTGGGACGGTGTATCGAATTGTTTGCCCGTCTTCTGCAGCTCTTGCATCGACCAAGGCAATCCAGCTTCCAACGCAGTTCGCGGGTCGTGGCAGAGCATAAAACTCGTGCGACTCAAGCGAACTGCCATTTGCAGGTCATTGAGAATCATGGGCTCCGGTGACAACATAACCCATCGCATGATTGTCATAGCATCCGCCTTTTCTTGGGATGAGAGGTTTCCCAAGATCTTTTCGTATAATCCGTATAGATTTGTGGGAAGCTCCCTCAGTACCTGGTCCACAAGGTCCTGCGCTCCGCCATCATCAATGACTTCGTTGACTAGGTTCGTCGCAAGTTGTGCCCATAAGAAACTACACCCAGCCTTCTCGACGATATTTTCCACAACGACAGACCGCTGTTCACAACTTGCCCTCAAGCGGGACTCCACTAACCATGTAATATCTTCGAGGTTATGATCTTCGAGTTGTAACTGAGTTATATTGGCTGGGATTGGCTCGCTAACTGGTCGACTGGCTAGACACAAACTAAAATTCGAGCTTCGTGCCATTTGACATAGGCCATACAGGAGTTCGCGGATATACTCGTCGTCGCAACCATCTTCTGTATCGATTAATATAAAAGTCCTTCTTGCTAACGTCCGGGGCTTTCCTATGATATAGTCATCGAGGAATAATCGAGTCAGATCTAAATCGTTTATATCACCCTCGCACACACTAGAAAGTCTTTCGCGAAGATTCGGGTCATGTATGAAGAGCTGAGAGACCAGGGAGCGGATTGTCATGATCGATCGCATATTGCCCAGCTTTGACTCTGCCACGAAACATCGGTCGAGACTTTGATCTTCTGCGGCGCAGTATATGATTGAGGCTGTAGCAGGGTTCCACTGCTTTTCCATTTGGCGCTGAAGATGCCGCAACTGGGTCGACTTACCAGAACCTAGAGCACCTGTCAGCCACAGTATTTGCTCATTTCTACCATCCTGGCGACGATACCAATCGGAGAACTCCTTTGTGCTACATATTCGTCTGCATGTATCTAGGGAGCCCTCTCTGAGAGCCGACCGAGAGCCCTTGCCCCTGTCTCGGCGACTTTTAAGTTGCTGCAAGCAGCCTAACATAAGTTAGCCTGTGTGAAAAGAACAGGAACGCCGTCATCACATACTTATCTCTCCGGCGCCAAGTTCTCGGTGCTATCGTTCCTCATTAGCGATAAGCGTCAATATTCGACTATGAAATACTACCTTGAGTTTTTCATCCCTCACGATATCTTGGAGAATCTTTGATAGTGATATGAAACTAGCATCACTCGCAGACTTGAATTGACAAATCGTGCGATGGTGCGCAGGTAAGCTCTGTGCGTCTTCTCTCGCCTCCCCAGGCTTACTCGCCTCGATACGACTGTTCTAGCCAGATACGTAAGCTCGTTTCCAACCATACACTTGAAACAGGGCGCGACCTACGAATAACCTTTCCATGTCACCTTGTCGTTCCTGATACGTCTTAACCACGAAATTGAAATGGTGCCATAACCGAATAAATGAATCCTGTGCCTCGCCCCATTTGGGATTGTTTACGCCACACAGAGCAGAAAACACTGAGCTCTCTGCTTTACCGCTGAAGGATGCCTCTGCCATCGATACCGTAGTGACTGTCAGTGGCCCATCCTCTACAGCCCGGTGCGGACAATCAAAGAGTATGACGGCAGCCGTAGAGCTCAGGATATCCTGTTCGTTTTGCGTATTACTGAACTCGGCCTGGCGCAGCATCTACGGTAACCATAAGTATTTCCGCATATAACAACCGTGTCTACAAACCCACCTCCTTCACAATAATTCCACCGAGGGAATGCGCGATGAGAACTAGGGGCCTTTGTTGCACATCGGGACTATCTCGAAGAGCCCCGAGCTCCCACAGAAGGTCCTTTGCGTGAGAGAAGAGATCGAGCTGAGCAGCAACCGGCACATCGCCACTGCAGAGAGTACGGTACCCCCAAGTGATGACGCGCGCCTCTGGACAAACCATAGGCAATAGGTCCCGCGGCCAGAAGAGTAGAGAGGACGCATTCGATTCAGGCTGCCACGTGCCATTCCGCGGAACGGTAGCCGGTCGATGTTTGCCATCCGAGGATCGCGTTCTCTTGAGTAGAAGCTTCAAAGATCCATCACGCCCGAGCGGATCGGTTTTCGTTCGAGTAGTAGATGCTACGCTGTCATCGTATTGCCAACTTTGTATCGGATGTCCTCCTAAGCCATGGATGAAGACAACGCTGAGAGGAGGTCATAAGCTCGTACACTTCTGATAAGACGCCGGAATAAAAGGGAGATCAACCTACTCGACAAGCGCGTTATCGGTCTTCTCTGGCTCATAAAGTACATGAAGACCGACCGAGGGGGACTCCTCTTGGAGGGGACTCATGGCAGCGAATCATGGGTGATCCCGTCCATTCATCTGAGAATCAGATCTGTCTCGAGGCGGTATCACTTCATGTGCATCTTCAATGCATTAGGACAATAATTTTCCATGATAATGCCCAGTTAGAATGCAGAGTGCCGCCAGCACTGCTTATATCCGACAAGCATTAGGCAGTTGGTGCCTGATCTGATGCGATGTGATCTGGCATGCGATATGTTGTTGTTGGTGGTGGGGTCAGGGTTGTATGGCATGCTGGCTGCCAGGTAGTCAGACGTGTGCTTCAAAGGAGACAAAAAGGCAGAGCAAAGAAAACCGTCCGCCTCATTTAGCAGATCCCCCTGAGCATTAGACTTGCCTCATCCGTCTATCTATCTCGTTTTCCAGATCCCATATATAACCCGTGCTGTGTCGCCATAGCCTGTCCGGCTGATTGATTGGCCACCCGCGTGCAATCAGGATAAGCCCGATTTTTAAAGTACTGGATGAGTAAGTATTACAACAAAGCCAGGTTAGCAGGGATCTTAATGGGCCATATGAGTACATACGGTTCCAGAAGTCGTAGCAGCAATTTGATCGACAAAGGTATGGCGCACTTGCCATTGCGTTACTGTCTCACCTCCTATTGTCGGGATACACCGTGCGACGGCCCCGAGACGGAGTGTTTTGGCTCTCCTCTCTTCGCCTAATGAAATCCAATATCTCTCGAATTTCCTCCCCTATGTTACTTGTGGCTGAGGCCAGATCGATGAACTTGTTCGACATTGCGTTTCAATACGTCGATCTATCACGTCTCTTGGCACCTCATGACCGGAAGATAAATATACCATGAAACTTTTCAGCAACGTAACCACTCCGTTGTCACTTGAACTTCTTATAGATATGAGATTTCGTTAGATACAAAAGTGCCATCGCCCAAGACATTGTTGCTCGCGAAGGCTTGGTCGCACGCGTTCCGCGCGTTATAGGATGGTTGCTACGTGTACTACCGTCGCCAATCTCCAGCCTTGATTGATTCACATGCCTGTCTCTCCATTGGAGCACCCTGTTTTTCCCCATCGCCCTGTTAGTCACTGAGCTCGTTCACTACAACAAAGCTAAGGTCGTGAACAGCTTTTACTGAAAAGCTCAATGTATAAGGAAACTGCGATTAAAATGTTGCACATACGTGATTAGCAATACCAATAGGACTCCGACCTGCCTAGTAGTCACTAAGAAGTCCTCATCTACCTAGGTGTGCAAAGTTGTGATCTACACATCGTCTTAGGCCACTAGGTAGGACAATCAGTTGGACATGAAAACTATGGGGTTCTCAAGGTATGTTACTAGTTCGTCGTTCAGGAATGCTGCCGTATTTTCGGTTTATTGTAATGTATGGGAATTGCGTACGGGCCAACAGTCACGGACAGATAGATATCTATTTTCTTGTATTGCTCAGAATATCTTACCAGATGGACGTGGAAGCTGGGATTCGGGTTCACGTGTATGGTGCATTTTCTATCAAAACGCTAAGGGCTTTCTACCATTCCAGAGTAATAGCAAGCACCTGACGAACACAGGCAAATGAAGTTGTGACACATAATTAGCTACTAAGGAATGAAAGTCATTGCATATCTTGTCTCCGGTTTGCTTCGCTCCCTCCGCGATGGTGAGAATAGATTCTGATTTGGCCAAGCTTAGTCATAGAAATCAATTCAGTCTCGATTGGTCTAGTGGTGAGGATACCTGCTTGTCATTCTACAATTCGATCCCATCTGTTAGGTGGTGTTGTTTTAGTATAGAAACAAATCGCAGGTGGCCGGGGTTCGATTCCCCGATCGAGAGTTTAGTCTTTTGCCTTTTTCGAAAGTGATCTAATCAACCCAGTGATTTACTTTCCGTCCTCCCCCACTGTTTTTATTTGCGGGAATGGACTCCGGAAGCTCTAGCAACACAGATCTAGATAGGCCTGTTGAACCTTGTTGCATGCAGTAGGAGTGCTTAATGAAGCCTACCTGAAGACTATGCATGGCATGGGTATACCTGTACAGAACTGTTGCAATAGATTTGGATTTCACCGATTAAGGTTCCCAGATATAAAAATTGCAGAGGGAAAACAAGACTGTGGAATGATTACATTGAAATTTAAAGAAACATTAGACATACGATAACTGTCCCAATCTTCCAAAATCATTGATGTTGGCCCATTTTACTCATATGCATGACACTTCCTTTACTAAACTGTCATAAATCGAGAGGCCGTCCTCCGTGATACGAGTTGTCAACGGATTGTATAAATCACGGTGCCAGTTAAACTTATGCTACTTTGAGCCACAGGAGTCGTAGAGTGTGTCATGAATAATTACACATAAGGCACTGATTACTAACCGCTGTAGTATTTGAATGTTTAGGGCACTTAAATGAGCCGTTTCTGCCAAACTTCGAATTGATGCATGGAAATAAAACACACCACCCAAAAGAAAAAAATATATAGAGTAATTCATGTCAGGCTTGTTTTTTGTACCTAATTAGTCTTTGGACTAGTGTTGAAGCTGGAGTGCGAGTATAAAGTATGATCCCTCCTCCACTTCCCTCCTGCACTACTTCAATACTTAATTGTTTAACTCCCTCTTTTTTATCCCTCTTTTCCGTCGCCCTCCCGACTATAAATGGGAGTAAAAGCCCTGTGTGTACCTGCTAGAACCCTAGGATCTCGTTTACTTTTCTTATGGCCTCCCTGGCCCCGGGACCGTCTGATTCCGCTGTAGCAATCTTCTCAAAGCCAAACGCCCGTAGGCCTTCCGAGTCGGCATGCGTCCGAAGATAGGATTCCGTTGGCCGGCCCACATGTTGTGATTCGCCTTGTCCGCCGGGGAAATCCGGAGCGGGAGTGCCATCCAAGAAAGCTTTTCTTTGACGTGTAAGGTATTGGGCGTTTTGTTCGGTGACAGGGCATACCGGGATGTAAAGCACACTTGAATCCGACTGCCCTTTGTGGATCTTGTCGACGGCATGAATAGCTGAGTTAGAGAATATGTTAGTTTTGCAGTATCTGGAGAACATAAAGCTGAGAACTCACTGTCACAATGCCACAAGACGACATCACCTGGCCTGACTTCAGGCATATGCACCATACTTGTGTCAAGCTCAAGGTGTGGGTGAAGGTCCGTATTCAGTTCTTGTCCCTTTCCTAGTGTTGCTCCATGTAGCTCGCTCGTCATCTCGGAGCCAGCGAACACCCAGTTGTCTGCCGCCAGGTACTCTTCGGCGGATACATCTTTTGACTCCCTTACAGGTTTGAAGAATGGGCGGAGCAGTAAGTACGTGGATGACAGTTGGAGGAGGGGATTCACCAGCAGAGTGCCCTCAAAACCTTTGGTGTGGCTCATGCTCAGCCATCCCTGGAACATGCGGAACATCGAACACGCTCCGAGTCCGTTGTAGTTGTCCATATTGGCGCTGACCCTAGTGCTGGCGTCCCATGGGTCGTATTCCTCCCAATACCCTTCGAAGACCTTGTCATAAACGCCACCGAGCCCGTAACCATTCTTCTCCCACCGTTCGACGCTGCCTCCGTCAACATGGGGGCCTAGGGCGAATTTCGTATCACCGGGTTGTCTGATTCGTAGGCGATCTGCATAGGCAAGAGTCTGCGATAGCGAGATGGAGCTCCCAGGGTTTGACAATTGCCAAACATTCATGAGTTTCGATTGCACCTTCAAGAGATTTGGATGTGCCCGTGCACGAACCTGAGGGCTCGACCAGTATAGCTCGAATACTTGAGGGTTATCTTGTGGGAATGCTACTCCTACAGTTAGAGAATTGACTAGACAGGGTGTAGGTGGTGGAGTTTGCCTTTCGTCGAGGGATTCTGCCTGACATATTCTTCAATGTCACTCTTGTATGTGCGGGCTTCATTCTCGGGTATCACACCCCTGATGACAACAGCACCCCTCTTCTTGATCTCCGAGCGTAGTCTCGTAAGGTCTTCCTCAAGATTCGCGAATTGCAGGCTTGGTATGACTTCAGAACCTTCTCTTGCGAGGATTCTGTTTTCCTGTTTAAGCTGGGCAAGAAGTCTCTGCCAGCTTGCAATAACCCGGTCTTCATGGCCAGCCACCAACGATTTCTTTAGATCAAGGAAGCGTTCTGGTAGCGGCGCAGTCCCACCAGATAAAGAGGCAAAAGAATCAGAAATATTGCCTTCTCTTTTCATCTGGGGCATATTAGAAGCAATTGCGGTCATGTGTCGTGCCGGGCTAGATCTCAAAGCTGTTGAATTGGATAACAAGATGGTGGCGGACATGGGCCTTAAAGCAGGTTTCACCAGTGAATGTATTTTCATTGAGCTCTCTGCGATCACTATTTCATCAATTGAGAAAGATTACATAGATATATACACACACACCAACATGTCGGAATAGCCTCCGTAATGGAGGGCGGTACCTCTGCGTCGGAATGATGACCACCAACATGGTCTTACCTAAACAACTAATGACGGAATACATCGGGCCGCTACACCAGCACGAAAAATGTGTCTTATCCTCCCCAAGCCGGGGAAAAGTATAAGATGACCATCGTCGGCGGGCTATTGTCGGAGTTTTGCTACGAGTAAGCTTTCAAGACTGATAGTTTACTAGACTACGCCGTCACAATTTCGTACGCTATGGGGAGAAAACATGAGTGAGCGGACTAGCCGTTTTCGGCAATTCCGCCCGCATCGGAGTTGATGGTGGAAACGGGACCTCGTTAGAACGGAGTGGATAAGGTTGGATGGTCGATCATGAGCTTTGTTTGCATCTAGTGACTATTCTGCAGCAGAGTGTGTTCTTGATCTTTTCGCATGTAAAATGAATAACTACCCGATTCGTCTCACCTGGAATCGGAGAGACGGCGGAGATGACGAATTAGGTGACTACCGCTCTATCGCAGTCAAACCTCAGGATAATAATATAATTCTGCGCCATGGTCAAATTCGTGGAATCAGACACGACCGGCTTGCCGCTCAAACGAAAACAAGTCGCACATGCCTGTGAAAAGTGCCGTCGCCGGAAAAAGCGATGCATTCACACGGATCCAAAACTACACAGTGATCCGTCTTCCGCTCGGTCGCCCGACAAGTCATCGGCGGCGGAGAGGTCGCAACTCTCACAGCCCTCGCCTAGCAATCGGAGTAATAAGACGCACGCATCAACTCCGGGCCCTTCAACCGGCGACACACGGCTATCTTCGCCCATCGTTCAGAATGGGGAGCAAGAGAAGAGCAGAGAGGCCCATCCTTCAGCATTTTACGGTGATCTAAATCCAGAGGCAATCCTGATGGAGGCTACTAGTCTGTGCTCTCAGCGTGATGTCTCAGCGCCCGGTGGCCTTGGCATTTGGCAGGCCCCCATTGCTCCTCGCGTGAGCATACAGAGTTTGAGCGTTCCAAGTGTGCAGTCGTCCTCGCGACAGGCGGTTCAAGACATGTTGCGGTCGTATCTGTGGAATCACTGTCTACCGTGCCGCGCTCCGGCATCCGACTATGCGGTATTGAGACGTATATATTTTGAGAAGATGAACCCGCTATTTCCCATCTTCGAAGATCCATTAGTATCCAGCAAACCGGATGAACCAACGGACATCCTAGTTCAGCAGGTTATTAGCCTCGCAGCAGCCGCCGACCCCGAGTCTTATCAGCATCTTCGTTTCAGCTCCAACGGCCCTCTCCTCTCCCGCCAGGAGTTCTGCGCCTCCCTTTCCAATTCCGTTTTGACGACACTGGAAGCGGGAGTTGTGACGGATCGAGTTTGGCTCACTCGCTTGTCCGCTGCTTTATCGTTATACACACAGCCCACGAATGCTGAAGAAGCTGACATCCCGGCCCTCTTAAACAGTCGTTCTGTTCATCAAATGCATACACTTGGACTTCACATGGCGGTGAACGATGGACACCAGAAGAGAGACATGATTAGGACGATTTTCTGCTGCCTATGGGCGCTTGATCGTATCACAAGCGCATTCTACGGCCGTGCTTCCTTAATACACGAACGAGACGTTGGGTGGGACATCGAAGATTGCATCCGTGCACAGGCGCCCCCTTTCCGCCTTCTTTTAATGATCGTTAATCTACTTGATCAAGTAATTGGTTTATACCGCCCCGGAACCCGACCGAGTAAACATATTCTCATCGAGTTACCCATATTCGAGCAGATGGTCCTGGATGCGGAGGCATTAAGAATGACGAGTTCTTGTCTCGGTAAGTTGGGTGCATAGGAAAAATAGAGGACAAGGTGCTAATTTATATCGAGCTTCTCTGGAGATATTTTATCACTCAGTTGCCATCTTGTCGGCCCAGTCACCAGCTGACTTAACGTCATCTGCCCTGCCGAACCCCGCGACGAATAGCCGAAGATCTCTAGCGGCAGATCGGATCACGTCAATCATTAGCGAGGAGTTTGCCGGACAGCTTTCATATATGCCATTTATACCGTACGGGGTGTCCCTGTCTCTGAGCGTGTCGTATAGGAAAATGCGGCACAGTAAAGTCCCCATGTTTAGGAATCGCGGTAAACAGGCTTTTCGAAAGAATATACTCCTATTGAAATCGATGGACGACATGTTTTGGAAGTCGAAAACCATGGTAGCCATGGCAGAGCAGGTTCTCAATGAGATGGACAAGGCGGTCGTGTCGCTCGCTCAAGAGAATGGGTTGACAGATCTCTCAAAGAGAGTCGAGTCAGTGCCACAGGGTGAGCGTTCTCAGGCACAGCCGGAGGAAACCCGGGTTCTAGACTTTGCATACGACGTCACGGAAGCGAATAGCGAGTGGACGCTGTTTGATGCTGTCCCTGATCTAGATTTAT